ACAAGGGCAGTTTGGGACCAGGTTTTTTATCTCAGCATGCCTCAGAGTTCTCCTAAGGACTTTGCCCCAATGTGAGTTTGCATTAAAACAAGGTAGACCAAAATGCCCCTGAACCTTTGTGAACTATCTATCTAGATAGAAGCATACAGCCTTCTCTGGGAATTCGTGATCTTCCTGTCCCTAGGAAATGCATCAGATCCCTACTGGATGAGGCTTCTTCCAGAATACAGAGGAAACAGCTAGCTATGGTTTGGGGGGTTGGTTTGGTTTGTTATTAATCTAGGTTGGTAGAAGTGCCTGTCTTGCACAAAATGATACAGAAATGAGAGCACTCACAGGAGATAATCAAGTTTTCAGTGTTTTCTGTTTTAGAGTTCCATATCCACAGCCCCTATCTATTACTAGATTATAGGCTGTTCTGATATAGGGGTACTTTCAAATCCTTTACTATGCTAAAAAAAAAGCTTGATACAAGCTGAAATTTGACCCGATGAAAAAGCAGCACCCAAAAATGACCATAACTCTGTAGTCTTCTGCTTATGGCCCTCCACATAAACTGTTATAAACATATACAAACATAGAGCAGTGAATAGAATTCAAGCTCCTTTTACCAAAAATATTAAGGGGTGAATCCTTACTCAACCTAAATTTGCTGTTCTTGCCTTTGTGAGGGCAGAAACTTAACTCCATTCACTGACTAACCAAAGGCAACATGGAATAGCAAATTGCCTGAACCAAACAAGAGAAAAAACGACAGACAGACTGGCACAGAGAACATATTCATTGGGAAGGAGCAGATTGGGATGACAAGCTTGCTGAAACTCAGACTGGGAAGAAAAATCAGTTGAAGGTTGGATTTCAGAGGAGTCAGTCTCCCACTACAGCCACAGGAGTGATACAGTTTGAAAAATAGGATCTGTGGCACATGTACTCAATGACTGAAGGTCTGACCGCTAGTGAGGCTGTAGCTGTGTGCAAAGAGCTATACTGTAGCTACCACTACAACTTACAGGCTGCAGGCGCGGTGGTGGTACAGTCCTACAGCCTGACCCTGCGGCTTGCAGTCTCAGCGAGTTTATAGTCAAGGTCGGTGACTGTGCTGCAGCCCCTGTTCCTACAACTTCACTGCTACCATTATCTACGCTGCGATCCCTTCAAGAGGAGCATAAACCAAGCTGTAGTGTCAACCCTGTTATCCGCACAACTCCGTCCTGGAAGCCTGCATTTCTTTGGAAATCCTCATAACAGTAACTACCCACACACATATGAAGCTGATATTGTGTTGTTTCTACCTCTGAACTTTCCCATTCTACATTTAGCTGAATTATCAGTCTGTTGACTAATTTCTCATTTAAGATGGTCAATAATGATGACACTACAATGCTTCCAGCTTTTCTGATTATTAGCAGGCATTGCTCAAAAATATTTTTTAAGGATCATTTCTCAGTTGTCTTTGCAGTACTTACCTACAGCATAGAGAGATCTCTCCAGATAGATGTTATGCTTTGTCACATAATTCCTATTTTTGTGGCTATTCTGAGAGAAAACTATATATGAAATATCATTCTTTTATTCCACTTCTTGGACAAGAACAATGTTCATTAGTATCATGTTTTTATGAGAACCAGAAATGTAACCATTAAAGCACTAAAAATCTTGGTAGTTACTGTAGGAAGATTTTATGAGAACTTGAGACCCATGGAAGAGGTTCTACTACTGTTCTACCATCAAAGCTTTGTCTCAGTTTAACATAGACAGCATTGCAGAGTAAACTTTCCATTGAAGTCAGCAATGCTAAAATTTGAGGCTGCTGTAGAAGTACTTTTGGGGTTTTACATCTTTGAAAGGTTTCAAAACTGCTTTTACTGTGCTGATATTTAAGATTATTAGAAATTCTGGACTCTGTAAAAGAGAATTATTTAGTTATAAAGGTGTAGAAAACGTTTTCCTTTTGTACTGGCTGACATCCAAAAGGAATTTCCTAATAAAGGTTTTCAGATATGAAAATACTCCTTTGTGGAAATCAACATTTTTCACAAAAAAGTGCATCAGTGTTAGCAAGGATGAAATTTCTGCCCCAAAAGAAAGATTAATTTCAGAAAAAAGCAATAGCCCCACAGTAACCATAAATCAAAACCAACAAATGTAATCCATTCTCTGCTAAAATAAGAAGAGGCATTTAAGTCTCCCAAAATCCATCTGGGTATCCTTGCTCTCTGGATTTTTTTTTTATTTTTTTATTTTTATTTCTATTTTGGGGGTGGATGAAGCTGGTTGTTAGCTCCATTTTGATGTAGAATTGGGCACTTTTTAAAACCTTGAAACATTTACAAGATGCATAAAGACTTTCCACCAAGCTCTTCCAGGTCTTCACCAACTGTGAGACTGTAAAAGAGAGCCGCTTATTCTGAGAATACCTGTATTACTGCTACGTTAGTTTTTAAATTCTATCTGCAGAACAATTTATACAGAACTTTCTATAACAGCCATTTCTAAAATGACACTTCCCAGCGCAGTACAGACAGGAATGACATGCTGCATGTCAGAAGTACCTTCAGCCAAGCTTTTTTCCATAATTGCAATAAAGAAATCAAGTTTGTCAAGGAGATAACTGCTCTTTTCTTTGGTATATTGAAAACTGTTAGCTCATTAGGTCACAGACGGACACTGTCATAATCTCACCTAAAATTCACTTTCATTTTACCATTGTACCTCTGACTGTGTATTATAAACCAAGAATCAATCTTTATGTTTGTTCTCCTTTGATGTGTAAACACAGTATATTTATATAACTGTAAAACCTATTTTTTAGCTAGAGGAGAACTGGAAAAATGAACTTGCTGTTTGTGTTCAAGAGTAATTGATAGACCCTCTTCCCTATTTTGGGGTCTTTAGCAGAGTACGGATTTTAAGACCTGTCAAGTACCCTTATCTCATCGTTCTTCATGATGAAGTCCACATTTTCTGATATGTTAGTGGACTGTCATGAGGACCAGAAACACATTGTCGTACTTTTACCTAGAAAGTGCTGTTGCAGATTATATCTATTATACTTTGTTAGACCAATCAAAGATATTGGTCTTAATCTAAAAACTGAAATAAATCATTTGTCTTCTCGATCACTTAGAATAAGACGTTCTGTGCTGCATTCTGAAATAAATGTGAAAGATCCAATAGATTAGCTAACAGCTTGGAAGATTGCATACAATGATGGCAACACTTTATAAACTGAATTCACGGGTTTGTAATTTGGAAATTTTTCACTATTTAACTTCTTTCCTTTCTTCCATAAAACCAACAAAACCCCCAAACTGTCTCTGTCTTCAATTTTTATGGAGAGCAACAATCTAGAAAGGTGATCTGTCATTTCATCAATGACCATAGAAGAAATATATTTTTTTTTGCATGCAGAATTAAAAAAATCTTATTAGTTCTCAGAGCAAGAAAGGTTGAGGTTAAAATTTAAGTACAATGAATAAAACTAATTCAGGAGTCACTATCTTAAAACTTACATCGTTCTTCAAATGAATCTCTCTTTACAAAAAGGAAAGAGATACCAACCAAAAAAGCTAAATTTATTCTATTTTTCAAATGCCTTCCTCAATTTTATAAACACACTTTACATATACCTTACATTAAAAAGAAACACTGAAAACAAAAATTTTTTTTATATTAGGAAATCACTCCAAAATGGCATATATGTTCATCATAGGAAAGTTTAACAATAGATATGTGTCACCTACGGTTTAATTAAGTAAGAAAAGTTCCATATAAGAAATACTTTTTGAAACAAGTTCTTAAAAAAGAGGAATTAGTAACCACAGCACTCCTACTGTAAACCATGATAACTCCGACAGCTCTGCACCTTGCCAAATGTCTAAAGTGATAGATAGTATGAAGTAGAAAACAGCTACTGAGAGGGGAAAGGAATATAGAAGCTCCTTACAAAAAAGACAGGGCAGTGCTCATTGTTATTCAAGCACATTAGCTGCCATATCCTGTTCCCATTGACTGCAGGGGAAGCTTTAGCATTGACTTCAAACAGGTGCAAGTCCCATGAGACTAAAAGGAATAAAACGTACAGTCACGGTATGAAAGCAACAGTGTATAAAGTGTGGTGAGACAGGATATGCAATTCCAATCTGGTACACAAGAATCCGACAAAGCTATTTAAATGCAGTGCCAAGTAAGGATGCAACTGAAAAACCAGACATTTCTAAACAGAAATTTGGCAGGCCTCCATTCAACGCCACCAGAAAAGCGCAGGAAAAATGTTACAGAAATGAGAGTGCTAAACTATGGGGAGGGGGGGGGGGAAGAACAAGGGGGACCCAAAAGCAGCAATAAGTGTCATCCTGTTCTGTAGCAATATAATATCACTTGTTCAGGACACAGCTGTTGGTGTGCCTCGGTGGATACTGCAGACTGGTCTGCTTGGAGGATTGTTGGGCCTCAGACCCAAGTATATTACCCATTTTTATTTATTCTCCTCTGTATTATCATGAGCATTGGAAAATGTTTGGGGACTTTAACTTACATAATCTTCAAAGAGAAGTCTTAGGCTATATTCTTACATCAGTTGAGTTATGCATGATGTCCTCAATTAATTCTATAAAGAAAGTAGCTGAGATGTCATTATATTAATTAGAAGCTGGTCAAAAATAGACTATTTATCCCAAAGGAAACTATGTGACTTCAAAATTTCTTTCCAGATTAAATCAGAAGAGAAAGCTATGCAACACCAAACCTATCTGTCGAAATGGGGGTAATAAACATCAAACAGTCTCAATATTGAACTCATCCAGATGAGTATTACAGCAGGATGACCAAACCTTGACATTTCATTTTAAAACTGGATTTGGAGGTTAAAATGAAGATTGAAGGTAGCAATTGCAAAGGGAATAAGGCAAGACTAGAAATTACTCTAAGAGGTAAAACAGAGAAGAGGTTAAGCAGCTTTTCCATAGTTAACGTTTTATGATGAAAAGGTAAACATATACCTGTGCGAGCATGGGAAATCCAAGGTTCCTGCATCCATTACAAGGGGTCAGTGCCTCCCATAAACCTGAAGGACCACAAGTATTTTCACCTGCATCATCATCTTCTTCCTCTCTTGGTGATAAACATGTTGAAGGTGGCCTCTGTGCATAAAGAAACAGTACTTTCTAACTAAACAGTGACATATTGTAAAGAAACATTTTATTTAAATGAACTTAAAATATTCCCATTTATAAGTTCCAAAAGATAAAGTGCTATTTTAATACAAAGTAACTACTCAGCTGTATGAAAATCACACTAAGTAAGGTGCATATTGACCTATACTTTAAATATGAGTGATCATAGTATCATACATTACAAATACATATCTATTTTCTTCATTATCAAGTAATTGACAATTTCTACTTTGTTTTACTTAAAAATTTGCTTTAACATCATTAAATTTAGAATATCCCACAGAGAATAAAAACTAAGACTTGCATATATAAAAAAAATACACTAATCCCAAAAAGGAAACAGTACAAACTAAAGGGATCTTGCTTCGATAGTAACCTGTTGTGTTCAGAAAAGGAAAGTACAGCTGCATTACATTTGCCTGGATCAGTCCAAGGCTTTTGTAGAAGAAAGATAAATTCAATCAAAATATGAAGTTTCAATTTTTATTTTATAATTACCAATAATAAACTTGTTAGTTTATTTTGTAGGCAAAAAAATTTATTTAAGAATGATCTGTCTTTCTAGCTGTTTCATCAGCTAGAAAGGATGAAAGGTAGCGGGAAAAGTCACTCAGTTGTGAGTATTAAGGCTTCCATATTGGTCTCAGTGATAAGGGAATAATGCTGATTTTTGCTTAAACTAGTATCCTATTTTTTTATCACTGCCAGAAACAGGAAGAGTGGACAGTTCCCATTTATGTTCTTTTGCTACACAGGATAGTCCACTGCAACTGAATGAATTGCAGTGGCAACTTCTATTGATCTCAGGAGCAGGAGGAAGAAAGTTAAGCCAGTAATAAAGGATTTTTAAAATCTCACATTAAAAAAGAAATGACAACCAAAAAAAAAAAAGTAAATTTTACTCACACCTTAATTCTTTGTTCATATTTAAATTGGAATATGTAATAGCTGTTCTAGCCTGCTTAACATTTGTTTGTGCAGCCTACCTGATATTCAGATACTAAATGCTTTAGGAATGCTTGTTTATCTTAAAAAGCCTTTCGGAAGTGGCTGGATTTTTGCCTGACCAACATAATGCTGCTCAAGACATTGGCTGACCACATCTATTAATCTGGTGGTAACATTGGCTCTAAAGCACTGCTATGAGGCCCATATAAAAATCAAAAAAACCCACAAACCCAAACCAATCAGTGCAGATTGTGTTAGCTGATAGAATAAAGAAGTGGGGGGGGCGGGAAGAAGTGGAGAAACAGCAGCAGTTCTGAAGATGAACACAAGCTGATGGAAACTGTAAGAGAAGCAAAGGCACTGCACAGACAGGTACTAACTCAAATAATGTAACAGCTGAGGATCTTTTAACCTTTGACTCTTGTGCTACCTTCTTATGCACAAATGCAGCTGGTATACCATTAATTTAAGCAGAAAATGTAGTTCTAAATGCTATTTCAGCTCACTCACCAAAGATGAGAAACACGATATATCCATCGCTACTAGTCTGATTCCCCTCCGTTAGAAAATGGTTGTTCCCTTGCTGCAGACTTCATGAATCTAGCCATATCTTCTAAAGTTAGGTGGATTTTTTTTTATTTTTTTTTTTTAATTTTAAAAGTCAATTTCTAAAGCATTCTTAGCATGATATTTCATGAGGTTATTTTGACAGTCAAGTGGTACCACAGAATGTGTTGCCATAGCAACCAATATTCTTACACAGATTATTAAAAGGACTGGGTTAACTCTGCAGAGTGTGGGTCGCGAAGGACTATTATTGCTCTGCATTTGCATAGACAAAGGAAGCAGACTACGGGTCTTTCCCTGCTATTTATGACGCTATCTTCCATGGTGGCTGCCCTAAGTTTATATCTCAAATCTCAGAATTGTTCTACCAGAGAATAGAGTGCTTCTTGCCCCCTGGAGCAAAAAGCAAAGAACTGCAGCAGTGCTAGGTACAGGAAAGCAAGCAACACACGTTAGCTGTGACCTTACAAGCCAATGTAAGTGAATCAAGACAAAAGTCACCAAAAAAAAAAAAAAAAAGAAAGAAAAAAAAATAGTCAATGCACCTTCTAAAAGGTGAAAAATACACACACATAGTATCAGAGAGAATTTTTTAACACAACTAAAGGAAGATGAATAATGGAATTCAGTACCTTTGAATCATTCAAGGGAGAACATGTGGGTATTTAATCCTTACAGGAACAGAGGGGGGAAAAAAAATCATGGCAAAAATATTATTGAACAATAAAAAAAAAATATATGAGCAGGATGAATGAGAGTTGAATTATTTCCATTAGATTTCTTTTATATAAATAACTTAAGATGGAATGGGGGACCTCAGAAATTTAAATTAATGTTGTCAATATGAATGAGAAGTGGGGAATACTTTTTGGCAGATCTCCTGATCATTCAAAAAAGGACCAGTCGATGTCAGAGTTCACTAGACACACTATCAGAATAAATTGACTCGTACTCTTATGCAACTAGACAATCCAGGTATGAATTACATGATACAGGCTCATTTACAGAGTACAGCAGAGTAGGGTTGGCTCTTTTTACACTTAATGACCGATTTCTCTCTTCTTGCCCAGATTTCTGCTACATATAAAGCACTAAAAAGGCAGCACTAGGAGAAATGTATGTGAAGGGTCACAGAACAGCTATTGCTATCACTTTTCTCACCCATCCCCGCTGCCAGAAGCCCAGTTCTTCCCAGAAAGAGGTGCAAAGGGATAAGTCAGAGCTGCTGCAGGGAGAGAGCTGCATTTGCTAA